TCTGCCCAGGATCCAACCACGTCTGTTGACTTGAGATGGGAGGTTGCCATATACTTGGGACAGTAACCAGTTCTCCCAGAATGGGCCACAGTATTATTAATGATCCCAAGGCAATCTAGATATTGGCATTTCAAGACAACCAATTAATAGCAACAACTATGTCACCTTGGCTATAGTAATAACATCAGCATTATTTATAGCATTAATTACAAACTAAATACTGACAAACCCTAATGACCAATAACGTACCACCAAGGTCCATAGTAAAGATACCTATAATCATAGTATGAACACTAGCACAAAACAAATATTGACTTAGCATTGACTTAGAGTAAATATCTACTAAATGGAAATTGACCTCTAATAACAATAGCACAGTATTCATCAGCAGTGGCATAAAGTTAACTATTTATCTAGACATAAATAGGATTAATAGTTATAGTAATAAAAGTGGTGGGAGTAGGAAACAAGAGAATGAGAAAAGCAATATTTGCAAAGTTAATCAATAGGAGATAAGTAGTAGGAGAGAAAAGTAGAAGGTCATATTAAGGAGTAAAAGGAAATTAATAGTGTAAGAGAACAATCACTAGAAAGAATGAACATGAAGAAGAAAAAAGATGAACAGCAAAAACAGGAGATATAAGAAAGTTAAGAAGGAAAAGAAAAAAAATGTTAGAAGAGAAAAACATAAAAGAAACTAAAAGAAGAGAGAAAAAGGGGAGAAAAACCCTAAACTTTGAAAAAATGAAGGAAAAATGAAAGTAATACAAAACAGAAAGACCCAGAAAAAATTGAGTCAAAGAAAAAAAAGTCCCTATGTTTTTGAGTGAGTGTTTTCTTTCCATGATCTGCAGTCTCGGGATCCAGCCAGACATGATTTTTCCAAGCCTAGCCTTAGGGCCTAAGTGTCTTTGAGGTGCTCTCCTTGCAATAGAAGCCTCTCTTTTCATTTCCCCCATTCTGTGGTTACTATCAAAGCCAAGGGTGTCCATGCTCCTATTGGTAGATGATGAACAGAGTCAGCCCTCTGTTCATAGCTGGATGTAGGCAGCAGCTGGGGGCTTGAGTGTGTTGTACTTAATGTCTACAGTCATGGGGTCTAGTTGCTCCCTTCTCTCCCTGAGTGTTGTCCTCATCCAGGATTGGGTCAGTTGGTTAGTCTTTGCCTCTGCTGCCTCATGCCCTGTTCCCCTGAGGGTGTGGTGCTACTCCTCTGGTAAGGGTCAGCTCTGGCATGTGGGGGGTGGGATAAGATTACTCCAGCATCAGTAGACTCTTTTACATGGGGGAAGGGCACCACTGTGCCATGGGTCTGCTCTCTTAGGGTGGGATGCTGCTCTGGGTTGCCTTTCTTATATGGATATGTGGCTGTTCCAGATCAGCTTTCTCATGTGGGGGTGGGGCACCGGTCTTCAGTCCCCAGTGGGCTCTCTCACATGGGTTGGACACTTGCTTTTCCAGATTGGGTCAGCAGTCTCCTATGGGGGCTGGGCATCACTTTGAGGGCTTGAGTCGGATCTCTTTGAAAAGGTACAATGCCTAAGGTTTTTATGAGGTCTTAACAAAAGTCTTTGCAATCTTACCCTTGGCTTCATCTTTGAACAGTGTTTTAAAAATATTTTTCTGATAGCTCTCCAGATTTGATGTCTACTTAGAAGTTATTTATTAATTTTAGTATCTTTTGAATTGCAGAGAGGTTAAAATGACAGTGTTATTTTCAAATCCAGCAAGTCCTTGCTCCTCTATCCAATGACTTTTTAGCTTGCTTGATTTTTATTTCATATTATATCGGGGACAGGTAGAAGAGTCTAGGCATGGTATGCATCAGTTTACCTGGATATCTTTTAAACTAAATGCTAAAATTTGTTAGACATATTTTTTATTTTCTATATTGTTTCAGGTAAAAGTGCTGCCCAGTTCTCTGTCATGACCTAAAAACAACATTTTCTCCTCCACCATTCAATCCCATTTTCTTCACTTTCCTTTGAGTCCTCCCTGATTCTCAGATTCTTTGTTTCTTGCTAAAAGTTTCAAGGACTTTCAGTTTCTTGCCCCGTCCTGCCCAAAGGCAGTGCCCTGTGTATTTGGTTTTAGGAGAGTATCCCATTGTTCTGGCTACCATAGCTACATAACAAGCCACCTCAAATCTAGCAAAGGGTAACTAGGCCACTCATTTATTCTTATTTTTTCTCATGGGTTTGGAAACTGACTCCCAGCTGGCAGTTTTCTTTGGGGTGTTTCACGTGGTTGTCAGAAGGTCATAGCTGGACCTGGGGTTATCGCTTTCTGATGTAATGCATATGGTGGCTGTTGACTGGAATCTCAGTGTCATCTTACCATGTGGCGTAGGTTTTCATATGGTGACTGGTCCCAGGAGCAAGTTCCACAAGAGAGGAGCAGGAAGAAATATTATTGCATTCTATGGCTTAGTCTCAGATGTTACACACTGTCACGTTTACTGTACGTTGTTGGTCAAGACTACAGTGATGTTCCAACTCAAGTGCTTGGTCTAGATGGGGAAGGGTGAGGGCACATGGAAAGACAGGCCTGAGTGATGGGGATAGCACTGCAGAAGTCTTTGGAAGATGCAGTCTGCTACAACCACTTACCACAAAATGTCAGCTGTAATATATCAAACAGTAATAAGAAAGTATAATGAAAAAAATTACAATAATGATATTAAACTATTTCACATCTTGTGGAAGAAAACAGCTTAATATATTTTTATTAAAAATAAAAATCACAATAGTGTTTGAAAAACGACTATCTCAATGTTTTGATGTTTGAAAATAGATCTAATGAAATATACAATAGCTGCTCTGTGGAAAGTAAATATTTTACAATATATGAGAAAAGTTATATTCAGGGAGACAAATATTCCTTATGGAGAGATAAAATGGCCTGACTCTGAAAAGAATGATCACCTTATTAGATTCTAAGATGTAGTTATGATAGGACATCATTTCTAAGAGCTGAATTTTAACCCACTTTTAAGTATTTCCCTTTTTTTCAGGGATCTTATTGTAAGATAAAGCATACCAAAATTAAATAAAAACTAATTATTTTAAATGCAGTAGTTACTACTATTGGGCAGCAATTTGACATGCTTTCATATACAGATGAAAAAATTTTCTCACACTTGCTTATGTGAGAGGAAAATTAGACTAAATTGGTGTGCTTCAAACTATTAGAATTTTAAGTTTGTTAGTGTCTCATATCAGGAAGTACTTAAGGCATAAATACATGAGTTCCAAACAGATGGCCATCTTAAAGAATGCCTTTTCTTACCTCCTTTTGTGAATTTAAGCTTATGCCTCTTAGTGGCTTTCTGTGGATAGCCTTCCCTAGCTGTTCAGTTGCTTTTAGGTCTTTAAAGAATTCAAGAAAGGGGAAATAGTTATTTTATGTTGAATATGTGCAAAGCATTATGCAGGTCTTTTTAACCCAGTATCTTATTTTTTTCTCTCATGGCCCACTATGGTATGGGTATTCTGATCACAATTTTGTCTTGGAGTTTGATTTTTGCATGATTTTATTTAAGAGTTATTTTCATGCCATAGTGCATACATATAAAAATGTAGAGAAGAACAAAATCAACAGCTGTGTATCTACCACCCATCTTAAGAACTATGTTCTAAATAAAATCTTCTAAGTCCTCTATCAACTTCTCCATGACTTTGTTTCTCTTATTCCTATCAAAGAAATAATTATTATGAGTTTATGATTCTCTATATAAAACTATTTCATATTGCTTTTCATATTTCAAAATATATTATTATCACCTCTGTGGCATTTTTTTAATGAAAAAAATTTACTTTCATCTATGTTGACACAGAAAGTATTAATTAATATGTGTTTGTCTATGGACTAAGCTGCATAATATTCATTATTTATCCATTTTGTTTGATCATTTCATCATTTAATATTTTTTGCTGGCACCACCCATGGTGCAATGAAAACTTTAGACATTATTTATTAAGTTTTGTCGAGGAAACAGGATCGGGGTGCAGACCTTTACATCTATCCTATTCTACCTAAATATAAATTACATTTTGTATTAAATCAACATTTATTCTATGCACTATTATGAATGTCAAATATGATCCATAACTAAAGCACATAGTGAACTGTAGTTGGTTTTCTCTTACTATTTGTGATGGTTAATTGCGATTCAGCAACTTGACTGGATTAAGAAGGGCCTAGCAGATTAGCAGAAAGCACACTTTGGTGTTTGTGGAAGTATTTTGAGAATTAACTGGGATATAAACCAGTAAACTGAGGCAAGGAGGACACCCCGGTTATGGGTGGCACCAACAAGTAGCCTTTATCCTGGATAGAACAGAAGTGCAAGAAAGAAGAACTTGTCACTTTTTTATCTCCAGTCTGCTTGAGTGAGTCCATCCTTTGCTGCTTTCAACTTTGTTGCACAGTCTCCAGTTTCTTCAGTTTTCCAATGCAGACTCATACCAGTGACATTCCAGTGAGCATCCAGGCCTGGAACTCAGACTAGCGCTGCATTTGATCCCTCTTATTGGCAGCTACTGGATCCTCTGGTTCTCAAGGCTGGAGATGCCCATTGTGGATTCTCCCACCTCTAATTCTGTAACCCTACCAACAGAATCCTCTTGCACAGCTTTGCATTATTTTCTATCAATTTTTTATCTCTAGAGAACCATAAATAATAAGCTATTTTTATTCACTACTGTTAGTGTGGGGAAGGAAATAACTAAAAATTGTTTCTTAGTCTTAGAGTTAGTAGTCTTTTAAAAGCACATAAATGATACTGATAGAAATTTAATAAACTAAAAACTCTGTGTCAGAGAGAAGATAAAGAGGAATAGGTAAGAGCATCATTTCCATTGTATTTTTTGTTTTATAATTATGTTTCAATTTATATGTATTTTTCATGCCTTTTCCTAGACAATGATTTAGAGAGCTGGTTTTAGCTCAGACCTCCCAAGATAACTAGAATGTTTCTCTCTTTAAATCCTAATCAATAGGGTTGCTCATGGAAGTTCATACAGGTGACAAAAATTTCAACTGGACAAATTAAACAAGCAAAACTATTGCAGTAATGGCACCAGATTGCATTCAACTCCTCCAAAACAAAAGGTAGGAGATCTGAGGTTAAACTAGTGGAAAACTACTGGAGGAAGTTAGCAGGAGGTTGGTCAATGTGGTTAGGTCATTTGTGCTTGCTAATTACACAATTTGTGTTTGCTTATTACAGTTAGGTGTGTGCTTTCCACCAAGATTGGGAGGCAGGGGGCACTATCCTTCTTTGTGATGACATTTTGAATAGATTGCTCAGAAGTCCTTCATAAAGACATTACAAGGTTGTAAAGCAGCAAGGGGTTGAGAGGAGTTACACCCTCAAAGAGGCAGAGGAAAAATTTAAGCTTAAAAGTTTTGTAAAGTATGTGTTCTAAGAAAGAGAAACCAGGGGCATATCCATACTCAGGAAGAAACTAATTGGAAGTTTACCAAGGGGAATGTTAAAACCATCTTTGGGTCACTAAAGAATTTTATGTTCATTTTAATATTTAGATCCTTAATCCATTTCAAGTTTAGTTTAGTGCATGGTGAGAGATACAGGTCTAGTTTTAATCTTTGGCAAGTTGAAAACCAATTTTTCCAGCACCAGTTATTAAAAAGGCTATCTTTCCTCCAGTGAGGGTGTTTGGCTCCTTTATTGAAGAGGAGATGGCTGAGTGTGTCTGGCATTGTTTCTGCATCTTCTAATCTGTTCCACTAGTCCTCAGGTCTGTTTCTTTGCCAGTACCATGCTGTTTTTACCACAGTAGCTTTGTAGTATAGTTGCAAGTTGGTGATTGTAATACCCCCTGCCAAGTTTCTGTTTACCTAGAGTTGCTTTTGCTATTTCAGGTCACTTCTTGTTCCAAATGAATTTTTGAATTGTTTTCTCAAGGTCTGTGAAGTATGCTGCTGGAATTTCAATTGGGATTGCATTGAATCTATATAGCAGTTTTGGAAATATGGCCATTTTTCATTTTTCTTCCTACCCAGGATCAGGGTATGTCTTTCCATTTTCTAATATCATTTTCAATCTCTCTTTTCAGAGCGCTATAGTTTTCAGAGAAGAGGTCTTTGATTTCTTTTGTCAAATTGTTTCCTAGGTATTTCAGTTTTTTGGATGCTATTGTGAAAGAAATTGTTTGCCCTAGTTCTGTCTCAGGGAGTCTATTGTTCATGAAGAGGAAAACTATTGATGTTTGTGTGTTGACCTTGAACCCAGCTATTCTACTGAATTTGGTTAAGTCTAGAAGACTTTTGCTGGAGTTCTTGGGGTCTTCTATATAGAGTATCATGCCATCTGCAAATAATAATTTGACTTCTTCATTTCCTATCTTTATTTCTTTCTCTTGTCTAATTGCTGGGGCTAATGTTTCCAAAACTATATTGAACAGGTGTGGTGATAGTGGACATCCTTGTCTTGTCCCTGATTTTAATGTGAAGGATTTCCGTTTTTGACCATTTAGTATGATATTGGCTGTTGGTTTTTCATAGATGCCTTTTATCAGATTGAGGTAGAGACCATCTATTCCAAATTTTTATAGGGTTTTTATCATAAATGCATGTTGGATTTTGTCAAATGCTTTTTCTGCATCTATGGAGATAATCCTATGGTTTTTGTCCTTGGCTC